TGCAGCGCCGGCCTACCCGCATCTCTGCGGCGCCGGCCAGCAGCGCCCTTCCCCCCATGGCTGCGGGGGTCTACACGGCCTGGCGCGCGCGCCAGCAGCGACACCCGGGCTGGATTGGGCCACGCTTGCAGCATGTGCCCTAGGGGCGGGCCCCGGGCTGCGTGCCAGCGGCTGTAGCCGGGTCGCGCATGCGCCGTGAGTCCTGGGGGTGGGCCTGCGCACCCTAGGGGGGTAGGCCCACGCATGCGCCATGCACCCGGGGGCGGCACTGCGCGCCCATGCCCGGGGCACCAAAATACCTCAGGCCGGCCCTGGCTAGCAGGGATCCAATTCAGGCAGGAATCAGGCTGCTTCAGTCCCAGGATTTCCCCTCACCACAAAGGGGTGCAGGGCTCAAGGTGAAGATTACACAGCTGTACTAAAATCCAAACTGTAGTCTCCTAGCCCAGCGCCCAGACACACACATACACAGCAGACAGTAGCCCTGAACTAGCAGACGGAGCAGAGCTGACCATGTGGTAATTGGTCTCACCTAGGCTATGTCTAGACTGCAAGCCTCTTTCGAAAGAGAGTGTCTAGACTGCACACGGAACTTTCGAAAAAGCAAGCCGCTTTTTCGAAAGAAAGCAGGAAGTGAGTCTGGATGCTCTCTTTCTAAAAAGCCCTGTTTGCTTTCAAGAACGCCTTTTTTCGAAAGAGTACTTTCGAAAAAAGGCGTTCTTCCTCGTGGAATTAGGTTTACCGCCGTCAAAAGAAAAGCCGCGTTCTTTCGATTTAATTTCGAAAGAACGCGGCTGCAGTCTAGACGCAGGTGAAGTTTTTTCGAAAAAAGACTACTTTTTTCAAAAAAAACCCTGAGACTGGACACAGCCCTAAGGAGCTAAAGGGCTAACTCAGCCTGGCTGGGGAAGTTTCCCAGCAAACTCTACATCAGTGGAGAAGGAAAACCCAGCTGAGGGATCCTGCTTTCGGGTCATTAGAGGCCAGTTCTCAGGCAGGGGCAGCCCGTGATTACGTCACAGCCATTAACAGCCGTGCAGGTGGGGGCACCGATCGCGCCTTCTGCCTGGGGCGCCAGCTGCTGCAGCCGGCCTCGGGCCGCTCCTGTTCTCAGGATGGACCCTTCATGTAGACCTGGGGCTTACCAGCTCCCCACACAGCAAGCTCCCCTTGCCCTGGCTGGTTCCAGACTGACTCATAAAAAACAATGGCTTTTCCCCTTTCCTGAACTCCCTGGGAGGAGCATCTCACTCCCTATTTGTTGCCGGGCAAACTCTGAGTTTGCCTTGGCTCCCGCTCCCTACCAGGGACAGTGTGCTTCTCTCTGAGCTGCCAGCAGACAGAGCCCCAGGAATCTAGGTAATCTCCTTGGGGGTTACATGTCTTCCAATATAAATCTAAACCAAGAATCTAGAATTTCATCATATAATGTGTACTAATGAAGGTTTAGTTATGGCCGAGGAGCAAATGTTTCTGGGTATGAATGGGATACACTTTGAGCCTCAGCATTCAAATGATATAAGTTTGCACAGCACTACATCAGGAGAGGATGAGTTTTTAAAAAAATGTGAATTCTATTATTTCCCTTCTGATTTTTGTGTCTTCACTGTTCATGTTTTTCAACTTCTCTCTGCAAGCCTGAACCCTAGAAACCGTTTTTGTAAATGAAAGCTGAGATTTTTTATATAACTACCTGACTCCAGAAGCTGGAGCTTTAAGGAAGAGACCAAATATTGTGAAGCTTTTTGTAAAAGTCATGAGAACTGGCAATACAGGTCACTAAGGAAACCTTTATTTAAGCGGCGGCATTATCTGGGATTTAAGACACTTTCAAGAAATTACAATTGGTCTCATTTTTAGTAAACCGGTTTTCACAACTAAGTTTCCTTTTGGGTGCAAAGATTACTGCTAATTTGACTGAAAGGGGAAAACCAGAATCAGAGTCCCTGTTTAAACAAAGTAAGTGAAACTACAGGTATGATGGGGCTGGGTGTGCAATTGTGTACAGACATTCTCCTGTATTTGTTCTGAAAGCACATGCAAAGCTCCTAGCCAAGCCAAGAGGAAGAATACACATGGAAGGGAAGTATTTGGCTGTCAGTAGGGTGCACAGCACCTGATAGACTTTTTCCATTACATTAAAGTCACTGTGCTAATATACAGGAATGGAAGGCCCAGTTCAACATTGCTAAGTATTTTCATGTGTGAAATCTGGAGATGATGCTACCGCTTAAAAACTACGGTGACAAGGGCTCAAAAACACCACGGATGAAAACCAACAGAATCTGGCAACCCTTACTCTTGATGTTCTCAACTTGTGCAATCCCCCCAGTATAGATCTGTTGCACTGGGTGTAAACTGTGACTTGCTCTAACACGTCTTACTCCAGTTTCAAAGGAGTTGGTTTTTCACACTGATGCAGCACATCAACAGTGGGGGTTTACACTGGCGCAGGTACATCACTGTTGCTATTCCTGTAGAACCATCTTCTGATTTAGGTAAGGCCAGTGTGAGACATCTGACTAGAACTCTGATGAGGAAATCATCAAATGCACAAACTCTATTTGTTTTCACCATGTTGAATACTAAACGTGCATTCTTTGAAGCTGTAAGCAGAGGAAACAGTTCTCTCACACCCACGCCCACACTCAATAACTGTAATAGGGTGTAAAGGTGTATTGTTTTAGCAATATCTACCCACACAGCCTCTTTTCTGTCTCAGCTCAGTCCTGGGACTCCACCTCTGACCTGTTGTGAAAAATGTTGGGGATCCACTGAACGTTTTCAGAGCTCCCCAGTTCTTAGACTGTGGCAATGTGTCCTTCCACATCTACCCATGTGTCTGTCAGCTCGGTAGGGGATTTAGACAGGCAAAAGCCTTATCTTGCATGGGCAACAGGCCTGCACCTACCTAGGATCAGCTATGGAGGAAAGTTATGCCAGTTATTAGACTATCTGCCTTTGCATGGCTAGGGAACTAGAGAGCAACTCCCTCTTCATGCAGAGGAAGCGCTCTACATCCTCAAGAAGTAACGACTTTGAACCAACATGGCTCACTGACAGAAATTTAACAGAACAGAACACAGCTGTGAAACACTTACCCCTTCTGCCCTCAGGCAGGCAGAAGAGTAATCCAACTGTAAGTGGGAGACTTGAAGGGAGCAAGAACAGGGATTTGTGAGCCACAGGAATCTGAGAGCTCATTGGCAACATTGCACCTCCCATGTTTTCCCAAAATGTTGGTTGTTCATTTGTTGTTCTGAGAGGAAGGTGTGGGAGGATATGGATGGAATGGGTATGTTTACACTGCACACTGAGCTGGGGCTTACGCACACAAATCAATCTAGGTCAGCAACTGCTCAGGACTCTGCAAGTGAAGTGGATCAGAGACCAGATCCCACTGAGACTCAAGTCCAACTCTTATAATTTTGCAGAGTGGCTGCAGGTCAAGCTGCAGACTAGTGAGGGTTAACCCAGGTTAGTGAGTGGGCCATGTGAGTGGCCATCTTTCATCACAGTGGACTGCAAAATTGTTGTAATAGTCTCCTTGGATAGAGTAGTTTTGTTAACTGCTTGCGTACCTAGAATTTGCATGGTACAGAATTTCAGATATTTTCAGCTGCATGGAACCAACACTGGAACAAATGTCCAAGTATATTTCATAACTGTTAGAACAGATCTCTTTGAAGTACCAAGGCAAAATCAATAGGATGCAGTATAGTTTTGAAATTATGATTATTTATATTACTGTAACACCTAGACATATCTTATACTTGCCTGTTTTTCCACCTTTAATGAGTCTCTCTGGAATTTCTTGGCTGTTGTATATTTTGGGGTGCATTTGTGATGGGAAGTAGAGAGCCTATGACGCTCCAAAGATGGTTCCCTGATTATCTCATAGAGAAAAGATTTGTTTCTAACTTGATAGGGAGTCGTTGTCATAAATGAATCCATTGTCCTTAATGAAGTTAGGATTTCCACAGCAAAGGAGCTTCAGACTTTTGGGGAAACTGTCTTATAGTGTAAAATGGCAAATGTTCTTATATGTGCGTTATTTTATTCTCAGGAGTCTGGTATCACTATTTTACAGCCCAATCCTGAAAGGTGTGGAGCATGCTGGCCTTTACCCATCCTCAACCTACATAATCACATTCTTAACACTCAAGATGTGAATAGTTTCATCCAAGGACATAAATGCTTTGCTGGATCAGAACAAGAGAGCTCAGCAGCTTGCAGCATCAAACCCATATTTAATATTTGTTAATAAAAATGGTGTTTTTACAGGAAACAGGGCTAGATCCTCAGCCAATGTAATCTGGCGCAGCTCCATTGGCTTCAAGCAAGGTAGGCCAGTTTACACAGCTGTGAACTCTAGGTCTTGCCAGCTTTCAAACTCAAACTCTTCTTCAGTGCTGATGTACCATGATGACTTAGAATTTCAGAAAACAAATGATCATTGCAATGCACGTGATGTATTGTTAAAATATTGGTAGTTGTCCCTCACCTGTACTGCCCAGTGAAGAGCTGTTTTAAAGTCTTTGTCCACCAGAGTTGGATCTGCTCCTCTCTGCAGCAGTGATTGCACATGCTGGGGACGATTGTGGAAAGCAGCCCAGTGAAGTGCAGTCATTCCCTACAAATCACAAGCCAAGAGAGCAAATAATTATCATTCACAGGAAGATTTAAAACTTCAAGGGATTTATTTTCCCTTTTAACTAGAGATGAGTTGGACAATTTGAAGATCAGTCTGGAGTAGGGAAAATCCACCTGCTCAAGATCTTAAGGGTGAATAATTGGAAGCAGTGTTAAATGGGTTGCATCAGAAGAGAAATAGCCAATAAAAATTGACTACTGTAGAAGACAGATATAAATACTAGGTATTTGCCTCTTTTATAAATATTTATATCCTACTTGTAAGTAATATATCAGTCAGAAGCATTATAGCTGCCTCAGATTAAAGTTGCATACAGTTTTCATTAGAAAGCCCTTTTTTAGTTTGTATTTTATCACAAATGCCATAGCCTTGTTTCTAACTTGCAATGATTACTATGAGATAGATTTGCAGCTGGTGTAAAGAAGAATAGCCTCATTGACTTCAGTTTGCAGCTGAGAAAGTGGGCCAATTATTTTAATAGTAATCTCAAACACATCATAGGCCCAATTTTGAAAAAGAACAAAAAGCAAACCATGATCTGAGGACTTAATTATCTGCTCTATCCAAGCTGCCTTTGTGCAATGCAAACTGGTCTCAGCAGACCAAGACTCCATTATCATATTTGCACATTAATCACCATCAAAAGTAAGTCCACATGAACACTTTAAATCTATGTTATGCACGGTTTCCTATCAAGTTACCTAAGCGACATCACTTTTAAGAAATATAATATACACACTATTCGTGTTTGGTACTTTTGAGTCAACGACTACACCAATGTGTAAAAGTTCCATGGTTTCTTTTCTTTTCCATTCTACATTATTTGGATTTTTTCACTTTAGGAAACTAAACTAAACTTGAAATAAAACTCTTCAAATTATTTTACAAGTTTCTTTGGGGAAAGAACCTGTCATTTGATTTGCCAGTAAAATGCCATTTATGTGTACAGAAGTTTCTGTCAATCAAGTCCAAATTCCTTAACATTATTTTCTCTGCTCATCAGGGGTGTGCTAGGGATTGGGAAGAGAGAGGAGAGAACAGTCAAACCAGGTTTTGGTTATTTTGGTTTTGCAAAATGTCTTCATTGGGGATTTGTTCTTGTAAAACTAAAAACCAAGTTAAATCAGTAATGCTGGAGTTTACCCCAGAGACCTCACACTGAATATCCCGAGATTCTTGACCTGAGGTTCTACTACTGTATATTTAGCCACCTATTGCAAATTTACCCACCTCCCACTGTGGCTCCAATGAGTGGGCTAGCAGGCAGCAGTGCACCCTCCCAAACTTCTCTGCTGCCCCGTGTGTCCCTAAGAGCCCGCAAGGGCAGCTGCACACAGCTGCCATAGTATGCACTCCTAAGGTGGTATAAAGTATTTTTAGAAAAACTAAACTCCCTGATCACTAATATTTGTGTGTGATAGGCATTTATAGACATGTATTGGAAATATGTTCTTAATATGTATCTGGTGAGCAGTGTGAAAGCCATGCCTGTTCCAGACAAAGCAATGTAGTTGGATGAGTCTCCAGTGTGAATTAAGCAAGGTGTGAGCACATTGCCACACAAACTAAACCAAGCCATCAAGAGAACAAGCGGGAACACTTCACAATCTTGACAAGGGTTCAAAAAACTGCACCCTCAGGAAGCCTTCGTGCCTCCTGCCCTGAGAAATGGTGTGCCACTGGTTTTTGTTCAACTGCCCTGTTTCTGGAGGAAATTTCTGTACACATTATCTGCGGGCAGCCTCTATACCAAAAATCCTTTGACACAACCACAATCATAGAAACTGTGCAGCTGTCAGCTGCCTTTCTTATTATGTAATGTGTTTGCTTGTGTGGGATGGTTTTATAAAGTTACAGAAAAATCTGAGTGTTTTCCTTTAAATTGGGCAATAGCTAGGAGAAGGCCTTTGTTAGTGCAAACAAGCTCTCAGCACATTTCCAAGCAAATATGAATAATCATGGGTCTTGCACCAAGTCCTGAAACAAATATTATCCTGATGCCAGCTGGCATTTAAAATACGTTTGACCTTGAGATTTGAGGTTGAATGTGGTAACACATACAGACAAAATGTTGAGGATTCCAAGAGTCCTGGTTGGTTCATATTAAGTTTTAATTCTGTGCAACTCACTGACAACTTTATCCCACATTTTCAAAATGGGCCAAATCTTACCAAACTTCATACCGCCAAATAAATAGGCTCTGCAAACCACTGTGTGGATGAACACAAAGCACAAGGCAGAAAGAAATTTGTCAAGTTAGTGCCCTTCAGCATTATCTCAAGCAGTACCCTCAAACTGCTGAAATTACATATCAGATTTTCTTTTGTGTTCTGTCTCCTTTGTGCTAAATGGATGGAGCTGATATGTAGCCAGATGTGGCAAGCTGAGAATTCCTCCAGTTAGCTATGTAGAGCCAGCATATCTAACCCATCTCTCTGGCAGGGTACATTTAGTCGATGTCTGGTTAAGGACCATAGCAACCTGGCATAAAATGGTTGCTGTAACTGCATGATTAATTACAGCACAACAGGGCTTCAGCGAGATCTTCTCAAAACTCCGGTCATCTGAAGAAGTGGGCTGTGCCCATGAAAGTTCATGCTCACATCTACATGTTTTGTTAGTCTATAACGAGCTACCAGACCATTTGCTGTTTTTTTCTGTACAGACTAACACGGCTACCTCCTGAAGCAGCTGCCTGATGGTGAGATCCTCAGAGAAACAGAGAATCTGTCTAACTTGAACACAAAGCAAAGAAATCCCTGTGTTGGCAGATGAGGTAAGGAGGATATGCAGGGAATCTGTCATATTCCCACACAACTGGGCTGTGTCTAGACTGCATCCCTTTTCCGTAAAAGGGATGCAAATTAGACACATCGCAATTGCAAATCCCCGCTTTATTTGCATAAACATGGCTGCCGCTTTTTTCCAGCTTGGGGCTTTGCCGTCAAAAAGTGCCAGTCTAGACAGGGATCTTTCGGAAAATAAATCCTTTTCCGAAATATCCCTTATTCATCTTAAATTCAGGAAAAGGGATGCAGTGTAGGCACAGCTCTGGTGGCATACAGAGGGAGTGAGTTTATTGGCTCAAATTCCATTTGCATCTGCCAGCTCCACTTGAGAGCAATCAGTGAGGAAATTCACGGTGAGGAGATGCACTGTGTTTATAAAGTGTGGTAAATGTAACAGACCTCAGAAAAGAGTTCTGATGTCATTATATGAGAAGTGCTAGACCGGTGCAAAGTAGTATAATTAGGGCTGCCAAGCAATTAAAAATTAATTGTGATTAATTGCAGTTTTAATCACACTGTTAAATAATAATTTAATATCATTTCTTTAAATATTTCTGGATAGTTTCTACATTTTTAAATATATTAATTTCAGTTACAACACAAATAAAAAGCGTACAATGCTGAACTTTATATTTTCATTTTTGATTACAAATATTTGTACAGTAAAAAGATAGACAAAACAAATAATATTTCAGTTCCCCTCATACAAATTACCGTTGTGCAATCTCTCTATTGTGAAAGTTGAACTTACAAAGGTAGAATTATTATTATTTTTACAGAACTTCCTTCCAGCTGAGTGAGCCCTTGTTTACGAGGATGGATTTTACCTCAGGGACTCAGTCTTCAGCAGGGAGGAGAGGCGAGAGCAGGGAGGCTGAGCGTTCCAGGCACCTATTCTCTATGGCTGTGTATCTCAAAATATCTGTGCTGGGGTTGGGGACATCATTTGGACAAACCCACCCCCTGCCCTTCCCTCACTATTCCCACACTAGGAAAATTGTGCCTTACCTTCAGCCCTGGAGGGCTCGGAGCTTCAGTTCTGTGCAGGTTCCACTCATCCACATTGGAGCTCAATGGTGCAGCCCCTCCGAGTTCCAGCCTGGCTCAGGGCTTCAGCTTCCCCAGTCCCCAGCTACCTCCAGAGCTTGGGGCTAGAGCTTTAGCGCCCCCTCCCCTGTCCCTCTCGCAACAATTCCAGGCCTCAGGGCTGGAACTTCAGGCCCCCACCCTACTGTCCCTGGAGCTCCCCCCATGCCACACTACACACACAGTTATGCCATTAGCACATTTCAAAACATTTACACATACTTTTGTTTTCAGTTAATTGCAGGCATTAACTGTGATTAATTGACAGCCCTAATTGTAATTCACTATAATAAAATCAGTAGTTCTAGTTCTATAAACCCTTTTTAGGCAGCAGGAAAGCTTATTACTTGATGCATGGGACCATTACAGTTAGTGCATTTACTCACCTCATTGTCCCGATGATTAATTTCACTTAGATGTGATTGCTGCAGCAGCACTGCTAGAAGCCTGTGGAAACAAAGGTATATTTAATATGCTACATTTAAGGCTAAATCTGGATGAGACATTTTTAGAGAAACTGAGCTCGCAATTTAAAGCAAAATTAATGGCAATGATGGAAGTGAACCAGAATCCAAGATCTGGTGTGTGTTTGTGTTTGTGTTTGAAATCCAAATCCAGATCCAGTTCTGTAGTTTGTGGCTTACTCTATTTCTAACTAAAGCAATAGCATACACTCAACACTTGGAACCAGAGGCCACCTCTATGCAAATTAAAAAACAGTTGCAATCAGGAATAATTCCAGTACTAGTTTCCAAAATAGTAAGCGGGCATTAATATATCAGAATGTGTAGTGTATGCCTGAGCCATGTTTTATAGCCTAGGAATTGGCAGAACTATTCATTGTGATCCCTTTGAAGTTTTAAATAAACAGATATGCAAATTTATGATCTTCCTTTATTATACGTTTGTATCCCTGATTAGCATAGCCCTATATGTGCATGCATGCGTGTGCATATGCGTGCGCGCACACACACACGGTTAGATAAGGGCTCACAGTCTCTGTTGGGAGTAAGGCAATTATCTCTCTATATAAAAACATTTTTCCTGTGGGACACCAGATTGATGTCATCATGTCATCTGTGTCCTCATGCCACTGCCACCACCATCCACCTCGACACTGTCCCCTCTGGGCATGGGCTACTCCAGCTCCCACAACACGCTCCAGGAGGCGGGGAGCTGCATCACTGGGAAAGAATTGCTGGGAATGGGTCCCCTCTGACATCCAGCCCAGCCCCCCCCGCTTCCTGGACCACTTCGGGTCCCCTCTGCCATCTGAGCCCAAACCCCCATCCTCCCCAGCCCCCTTATCTGTTCTGCCAAGATCCTGCACTCCAGCCCGCTTCTGCCCTCTCCCCCTGGCCTGACACCTACCCCTCCAGCCTGCTCCTGCACCTTCCCCTGTTCTTGCACCCTCTCCCTAGCCAGACACCCTGCCCCCATCCCACTCCCGCCTCCTCCCCCTGACCAGCATCTACCCCCAGAGAGAGGAGGTTTGGTGAGTGTAGTGAGTAGGGGACACAGTCCCCTAGTTATACCATAAACTAGGGTTAATCAGTAATGCATCTGTTGACCTATATAGAGAAGTGGAGTATAAACCATGGGTAGGGAACCTCTGACTTATGGGCTACACATGCTTCATCAGAGTTAGCCACTGAGGGGCTATCAGACAGTTTGTTATCTATGCATCCTCAAACATGAAGCTCCAGAGCTGCCAGGGACTGCATTTTGTCATTCCCAGCCAATGAGAGCTGAGGAAGGGGGCATGGGCTGGGCCATTGCTTCCTGCCGTTCCCATTGGCCAGGAACAGCGAATTGCAGCCACTGGGAACTGTGGAGCTCCATATCTGCTCTGCTCAGATAAATAAAATGTCTGGAAGCTTGCCAGTGAATAACCTAATGAACTGCATGTGGCCAGTGTGCCAGAAGTTCCCCTCCCCTGGCATAAACACTCCCATCTTGAGAGGGAATAGTTAGAACTATTCAACATGAAATGTTGGTCATTCAGGGTTAGAACCCTGAAATTGACAGCCAACATCTGACGTAAGTAACAGAGTGCCTACATAGCTACTGCGTTCCCCTAACTACACTGATATAAGCCCCAGTCCTCTCATGGAAGTGGAATTATTATGCTGGTGTAGTAGGGCGCTTGCATTAGGGGAACAAGGCAAGGGCATGTATACTAGGAGTGGGCAAATACCAGCCCGTGGGCCGGAACTGGTCTGCCAGGGTTAGCCCTGGTGGGCCCCCACACCACTGTATTTACCTGCACTTCTCCAGGCATAGGGGATCATAGCTGCTGTTGGCCACGGATTGCCACTCCTGGCCAATGGAAACTGCGATCACCCGTACCTGTGGAGGTGCAGGTAAATTTAGTGGCAGCATGAACTGTCGCCATTTTATTGCCCATGTCTGGTGAATACTGACATAGTTAGGGTGACATAAGATGCTTTATGTCAACCTAACTGTGTAGTGTAGACCAGGCCTTAAGTGGAGCAACATTTTATAACCTGAAAAATTTTGCCCAGGATATTCACAATTGTAAGGGTAAACTGAGGCAGTCCATGGTATCTTGCTGAGAACTGAGAACTCAAATCCTAAACTATTAAGGCAGGCCCGGGAAACATACAGACAGGCAGTTACTGTGACCCTGTTTCCCTTGGCAACCACATTCCAAAAGGGCCTCACTTTGATAAGGCCAGTACCAAACAACCAAACAGGATTGTTTTTCATTGTCTGCTTTGTTCCTAGAAAATAAGCTTGAATCAAAGATCACGCCAAGGCAATACCACCCCCGCAGGAGACGCATTATATTTCCATCTGACAAAATGATCATCAACGTGTCTTTGTTTATGTTGGCTTATTTAGATTGTTAGGAATAATTATTTGTATTAGTGATAATATGTTTAATTGGTGATGGGCGGGGATCCTATGTAACCTTTATATTTCATTGGCTTATGTGCTTATCTCATTTCCGCCACTAGCTCTATCAAATCACTTCCCCTCCGCCCATCTGCTGCCTATATAATTTAATGTATGTTTTGGTTAAGTTAGTCCTCACCAGGTTAACTCCTGATGAGTACTCCACCAGCTGTGTGAACCAATAAATCCTCTGCTTGTTTTCACCTGCACCCAGTGTGTCTGGAATTATTCCCTACAACAATCACCTTACAAACTACTGCAGTTAACTTTGAAAATGGTCTGAAGTGACTGGATTTGCAGCAGGCAATTATGTTTTATAGTAGCATGCTGAACACGGTTTGAAGTGTGGTGATGACATGGATTTACAGACCATCTTGGCACAACATCAAATACTAGATCAGAATCAGCCAACATAGACCCTTATCCCAGCATAGACATAAGGATCTGTGCTAGCAGAACCCCCTTTTCTGATTGGGACCAAAATGCTCACCACAGCATGGGGAGTTATCTGGTAAAGTACTTGCTCCCCATTGATACAAAATACAAGAGAAAGGCTCTTCTCTCCTTTGACATCTTTTATTCCATTTCTTAATTGGACATTCCTGAATTGCTTACAGTGTATTTTCTGCATCAAGTTGCCCTAGAATGTTTTCTATCAGTTTTAGGTTTAATAAAAGACAGATTTTGTAGCTAAATCAATCAATAAATACATCTCAGACATTAGAACCTTAGTTATTTGATGCTGTTCTATTGACAAAACTGATCATTCTTCCATGACATGCCTGTGGTATACCACATGCTCCTCTGAAAACAGCTAAAGCACAGGTGGATGTATGATTAACATCTCTTTTCTCACCACAAACCACCCAGTGCCCTCCTTTTAGTCAAACATCTTGTGCAATTCACTCCACTTGCAGATCTCTATTTACAATAACATACATGTCTTTGCCTATTCAGTTCCAGACTCTGACCCTAACCCCCCCGGCCATTTCCACCTTCCACACAAGCACTTCCTTCCTGTGCCTTTTCTACCTCTTGGAAATGGGCTAATCAGCCTTTAGTGCTCTTCTCAGCCCATCCCAATCTATCAATTAGGCACAGCTTGACTGTCAGTTTACTCCAGAGGAATGCAATTGGTAGTCCAGTAATCAGATTGCTGGTTCAGGTGCTGTCTCCCAGAACTCTGCCACACAAATCTATAACGAAATGCAGCACTGGCATTTATGCAGCTGTTTGTGCATTGAGCCTGAAAAACAAATAACTCTGTAGTCATGGATTGGAAGCTATCAGACAGTATGGGTGCGTCTAGACTGGCAAGATTTTGCGCAAAAGCAATTGCTTTTGCGCAAAATCTTGCCAGTCTAGACGCACCCATACTGTCTGCTTCTGTGTCCCCCTGTGGAACGGTAGTTGTTACAGTCTAACAGCTGTTTGACAGTCATGTAGTGAAGACATTGGACTGAGACTTGGGACAGCTGGAGTCAATTCTTGTTTCTTGTCTCCCAGTGTGACCTTGCATGAGTCATTTAATCGCTCAGTGCCTCAGTTTCCCTTCTTGTAACCATTCTCTGATGCACTAACAAGCCAGCGTATAAGAGCCAGCGTATAACAAAGAGTATAACACTTCACAGAGTATTAAATCAATTAAAAATATTCTGCCAGTGCCCCACCAGGGCCTGGATTGGTATGATCACTAAAAATCAAATGGGTGTAATAGCCCTTTTCTGAGGCATGAAGTCAGTTGCATAGTATAATAAACATGTTATAATGAACTTAAAAAGTCAGGTTATTTTGAGATTGCTTCCATTGTGAAATTCTGCAACTACACAGACAAGCTGTGCTAATTTTAACTATATATTGTAGTATCTGGAGAGTTGGCATGGTCCATTTCTCACAGAAGGCTCAGTTACTCTATGAAACATGTTCTGAAGTTCAAAAACTTGCCAGCCCTTGTGTCTGACCTGTTTAAATGGACTGATTCAAGCCTGTCAATTTCAGCATGTCTTTGTGTCACTAGCTATTCCTTCAGCACATTGATGCATAGCAGTGGTCTGCCAGTTCTTAGACCTAGGTGAGGAAACACTTCATAATTAGCCACTACATTTTGCCTTCCTTTCTAATCTAATTAGTTGGCAGAGGGCAAAAATGAGGACAACAGAAAATCCCACTAATGGGTATGGCACTCCAGCAGTGCCTTTTGGTAACAGGGCAATCATATCCAGAATTAATTTTGTTGACTTGGGCTATAAGACAGATGAAAAGGAGCTGAGCAACCCGCACAAGACTGTGTAGAGCAAAGGTCGGCTTGTTTCCATGGGGACTGTGAAAAAACATCAGGGAACCCTGTGTGCTACTGCTGAAGTAAAACACTGTTTTCTTTCTAATATCTATATCAGCATGTGCAGTGCTGTATAAACATGGCTTTTTCTCTTCGGAGGCTTTGTATAATGATAATGACTCTTACTCTGAAGCCCTCCAACTGCACCATCCAAGTGATGCATGAAGAACAATGATGACGGTGGAAAATTAATACATACAGAGCTATTATAGACTGTCACAAGACTCATCTAACCTGAACATCAAGTTACAGCTTTGCTGCCTCAGATGTGTTAAATCACCACTAAGTCTTTGTCTACACTGGCAATTGAGCAACAAAGCTTTTGTCATTCACAGATGCATTTAAAAAAAAACAAAAAACAAACAAATCCTGAATGACAAAAGCTTTGCCTTGGCAAGTACTAGTGTAAACAGCGCTTTCTGCCCACAAAGCAAACACAGATCATAGGGGGTGGAAGTTTTTTTGTTGGCAAAAGTACAAACAGTGTTTACACTGCCTGACTTTTAGCCACATAGCTGTGTCTACTGAAGCACAGTGGGGAGAGAGGACAGTGTGTGGCTCTAGACTTCCCTGGCCCTGGCTAGAGCACGGGAAGAGGGGGTAAGTAAGTGGTGTGAACCCTCAGCCTTCCCTGGCCCCAGTCTGAGCACAGAGGGTTGGGAGGAAATCAGACAGCGCACAGCCCCAGTCTTCCCTCACCTCAGTTGGAGAAGGGGGGGGGGAGAGGGGCGGAAGAGCAGGCAGTACAGCTTGGAGCATGGGGGGTGGGGGAAAGGAGAGGGAGAGGGAGAGAGCAGGCAGCATGTGGTTCACAGCTTTCCCTGGCCCTGGCTGGAGCACTGGGAGAGAGGGGGTGGGGGGAACCCAGTTCCAGCCTGCCCCCCACCAACCCTCAGAGAGCTGGCACCATGGCCCTAGCCTTGGCAAGACTCAATCTCGGGAATCCCGAGGGAAGATGCTCTGAAGAGGGGCAGAGTGTGGGTGAGGCTGGCAGATTGCCTTCTCCTGCCTATTATACCCACTGCCCATGCTCAGTAGTATGGACATACCCTAACTTCTAGGCATTTCTTTCAACATCCATTTTCAACCAGCCTTTTTTCCAGATACTTTAGGGGAACCTTTTTTCAATCAGGGGCCATTGACCCACAGAAAAATCAGCTGGGGTCCCACTCAGAAATAAAAAGCAAAAACAAAACAAAACCCTCACTCACCTGCTCCCAAGTGGAAAGCAACAAAAAATCCTTGAAAAATAAACCACTTACTCTCAACCTGTTCTAGCCATCTGGTACTTGTAGTCCAGCCTCACAGAGGTTGTTGGGGGTTGGGACTTCCTGCCCATGGCGTGGACACTTGACATAGGCCAAATCAAATTAAGCAGGGGGCTGGATCTGGCACATGGTCCAAAGGTTCCTTACCCTTAGTCTATAATGTCTCTGTATGGATCCATAAATGATTTACATGAGAGATTTTGTTTAATTACAATGTATAAATCAGAACTTGAAAGACTTGTGAAGCATTCCTCTTCAAAAGAAACTATGATACAAATAGTACATTTGCATGTGACTTGCTTTGAAGAACAGCCCTTCAGACTTTTTGATATATCTTTAGTAACAGTTGTCAAAAAATGAACTGCATATCTTACCCGATCCTTTAGAACACCTTTCCATAGAACGGCCCAAATCTTAACAGAGTTCGTTTTATGGACAACTTTCATTTCATTCACAAGCCCACAGGCTGCCTTTCCTCCCATTAATAAACTATTTATATTCAAAACAATAATATAAACATATTATGTATACGTATTATACAAGAAGGCCTTTTTCCATGGCGGAAACTATTTGGCATTATAATAATACAAATAAACAAACAAACAAACAATAATATTTACTCTTAATGCCACTAACATCATTCACATAACATTATTGTGGCAGTGGTAGCCACAATAGAGAACGTAGCATCAGAAAGTATGCAGTACATTTTTAGCTGTTTTTTAATGCAGCTGGAAAAAGGGGAAGCCAGAACCCTCTGCCCAGCCATGTCTCCATCAATCACTATCAAGAGCCACATTAGGAGAACTTCTGCTTTAGCATACAACTTAAAACATTTACTGTATATAATATGCAATGGACAGAGAGCAGGGCAGCTGGTTTTGTGGTTCCTTCTGGGAGACATGCATTTGAAAATACCACTGAAGTCTGAGTTAAAGAACTCCCTGCACACTGAACTTGAAAGACTTGTGAAGCATTCCTCTTCAAAAGAAACTATGATACAAATAGTACATTTGCATGTGACTTGCTTTGAAGAACAGCCCTTCAGACTTTTTGATATATCTTTAGTAACAGTTGTCAAAAAATGAACTGCATATCTTACCCGATCCTTTAGAACACCTTTCCATAGAACGGCCCAAATCTTAACAGAGTTCGTTTTATGGACAACTTTCATTTCATTCACAAGCCCACAGGCTGCCTTTCCTCCCATTAATAAACTATTTATATTCAAAACAATAATATAAACATATTATGTATACGTATTATACAAGAAGGCCTTTTTCCATGGCGGAAACTATTTGGCATTATAATAATACAAATAAACAAACAAACAAACAATAATATTTACTCTTAATGCCACTAACATCATTCACATAACATTATTGTGGCAGTGGTAGCCACAATAGAGAACGTAGCATCAGAAAGTATGCAGTACATTTTTAGCTGTTTTTTAATGCAGCTGGAAAAAGGGGAAGCCAGAACCCTCTGCCCAGCCATGTCTCCATCAATCACTATCAAGAGCCACATTAGGAGAACTTCTGCTTTAGCATACAACTTAAAACATTTACTGTATATAATATGCAATGGACAGAGAGCAGGGCAGCTGGTTTTGTGGTTCCTTCTGGGAGACATGCATTTGAAAATACCACTGAAGTCTGAGTTAAAGAACTCCCTGCACACTGGCACCATGTTAGCTAGGGAAAATGCAGCACCGAACTTCCTCTAATATTTTTAGTGTAGAGACTGGCTTGATTACTTTGGTGGTGATTGTCCACTGTGGGAAATCTAGAGTTTCAGCCTCCATTCTGACTGCCATGGCTTTTGGGGGGTTAAATTAGATTCTTCACCCTGCCTGAATATGTCTCTGTCCAATAAGTGCAGCACAGAGAGCTCTAGCTATAGGTCTAGAGTCCCAGGAATCCCTTCATTTAAAGGAGTGGTTATCATCAGATGAAACAGCAAATCACAAGTATAATTGCACAGGTAGCTTTCCCACCCTATGCTGCCTCCAGTCAGCCAATCTACACATTCATTTGGTGACTATGTACTGGACCCCAAAGATGTTTTCCTCAAAGAAGCAAACACCCTTTTAAGATGGAGCATACCTCACATCAGGCTCTGCGGTAGCAGCATGCAGTGGCAGTCTCCCATTTTTATCAGGTATGTTCTGCTTAGCACCATTTCTGAGCAGACTGACACAGCCTTCAAGCCATCCCTAAGAAAGGAAGTACAGAAGGTCAAAGAGGAACACAGAAAATTTGGGGCCAGATCCTTAGCTGGTGTATTTCTCTTTACACCAGTGGAGGATTCGTCCCTTGGCTTCAGAAAAACATCTTTTTAGAGCTTCAAAGATAGCTCACATTTGGTTCTTTTCAAGTCCTGGATTGATTCATTCAGCCATTGCTGGAACTAAGCTTTTTAGTTTCACTGCATTTTGGCCTCTCTTTGGCTGTGGTGGGGCTGGAGGGTTTTACGATTTGTAGTAGAATGGCATTTATAAAAAATATTGCTAATTGCTGCTGTATTAGTAAGTTTTATGTACATTCCTGCATATGGATTTTAAATTATATCAGTCAGTCAAGAGCATTTGATCTCAGTTTCTTTATAAGAAGTTGGCACAGGTAGTAAATTGCTATGAAAAGCCTGAGAATTGGAGTTATTTTAGGTTTTGCTTTCTGCAAATCCTTCTTGTTTTAGCAAATGGATTTTTACAGAGGTCTAAATTCAATAGAAGTGTTATAATGAAAACAGGAGCATCATTAATGGGGATTGGTCACTGATGGGAGTAAAATGCCACCCTGTCACCTTCTAAAACAAATCAAAAAGAGAAGAACACTCTGGTTCTCATCTGCTTGAGTCCCAAGGAATTCAAGTATGTGGTTACTGTAAATTAGTGTATATAACCCACATCCATGTATAACACGCACTCATGTATTACTCGCAGTTTTTCTTTCGTGTGTAAAAAAAATCTTAGATTACCCGTGGACATTCATAACCCGCAGGTAATGAACTGGTAATGAACTACAGCTGAGGCCGCTGAGCAATAAGTACTACCCTATTACCAGTATATAAGCCCTATGAACCGCACCATTTTAAAACCTCTTCAGTTTATAACAAAATATTTGTAAGGATGCCTAAGTGCAAATCATATACAGCTGATTTTAAATGATCTGTTCTGACATATGCAAAAGAAAATGGCAATAGAGCAGCGGGGAGAAAATTTTCCATCAACGAAAAGTCTGTTTGGGAGTGGAGAAAAGAAGAAGTGGAGATTGAGAAATTAAATCCTTGGAAAAGAGCGCACCAAGGAAAGAAAGCCAAGTGGCCAAAACTAGAAAAAAACCTAGTGAAATGAGTTCTTGCACACAGAGATAGCCAACGTACGGTATTATGTTGGTCTTGTCTTCTTTTAATTTGAGTAAAAATCAGCTTGTATAAGATGTGGACATGTATACCCCACGGGTGTGTGTGTGTATGTGTATGTAAAAACATGTATAACCTGTGGGTTATATTCGCTAATTCACGGTAAGTACTTTGCTCAAACCAGAACAATCACTCCCTTGCAGCTCGTGTCATCTGCCTGCATGTATAAACATGACCAGTAGTTACATAAGAATGTCCATACTGGATTAGACCAAAGCCCAGAAAGAACAAACATACTTATCTCATTCCCAGCTTTTGGCAAACAAACGCGAGGAACACCATCCCTGCCCATCCTGGCTAATAGCCACTGATGGACTTATCTTCCATGAATTTATCTAGTTCTTTTTTGAACCCTATTAGTGTTTTGGCCTTCACAATATCCTCTGGCAAGGAGTTCCACAGGTTGACTGCTTTATGTAAAGAAATACTTTCTTTCATTTGTTTTAAACCTGCTGACTATTAATTTCATTTGATGACCACTAGTTCTTGTGTTATGACAAGTAAACATCACTCCTTTATTTATTTTCTTTACACCATTAATAATTTTGTAGATCTCGATCATATCGCCCCATAGTCATCTTTTCCAAGCTGAAAAGTCCTAACCTTATTAATTTTTCCTTATACAGAATCTGTTCTATACCTTTAATAATTTTTGTCACCCTTTACTGAATATTTTCCAATTCCAACATATCTTTTTTTAGATACAGTGACCAAATATTTATGTAATATGTGGGTGTACCATGGATTTATACTGAGGCACTATGATATTTTCTCTCTTACTATATACCTTTCTTAATGATTCCCAACATTGTGTTCGCTTCTTTGAATAATTCTGCACATTGAGCAGATGTTTTCAGGGAACTATCTACAATGAGTCCAAAATCTCTTTCTTAACAGGTCACAGCTAATTTAGATCCCATCATTTTATATATATAGTTGGGGTTATGTTTTCCACAGTGCATTGCTTTGTGTTTATCAACATTGAAATTCATCTGCCATTTTGTTGTTGACCATTGATCAAAATTTTGTTAAAGGGAAGTTTACAATAAAAGCACATGGCTAAATCCAGCACTCAGTTTCATGCATGCATACATGCAATCCCATTGAAGTCAGTCCTTTGGGCAGACATCACACCCAGATTCTCACTAGGGATAGGTCTACACAACAGGGCTAAAGTCAAATTAAGCTACACAACTTCTACGACAACTGTGTAGCTGAAGCTGAAATAGCTTAATTTGGCTTGTGGTGCCATCTACAAAGCAGGAAGTGGAAGGAAAAACACTCTCCCTTCGACTTCCCTTATTCTTCGTGAATGAAGGTTACCATGAGTCGGAGTAAAAAGTCCTTCAGCTTGATATTATTTCGAAATAAAGGTTTGTAGTGTAGCTATGTACCATGTTATTTCGGAATAACAACATTTATTCCAAAATAATGCTGCTGTGTAGACATAGCCTAGGTTTAATAATACATACAGCAAAGAAATTACCACTCACTCATTTAAATCACATGTAGAAGTCTCACATAAGCCTAACAGAGCTGAAATTTCCACATGCATCTGTGGCTCTTGCTCTCAGGCATCTGTTTATATTGCAGAGGAAGGATTGTGAACCTAATCCTTAAAATATCCATGGGAATTTTAGCTTCTGTAAGTTTTGTGGTACTGGTCACTCTATAGTTTTATTAACCATTGGGGGAGGGAAGCAAATTGTCATCCTATCTTATATCTTCTGTTTAGCCTTAGAGCTCATTAGGATAAGAAGTTCAGCTAAAACAGGGGAATTCTGAAGGCATGAGGCCAGCCTGAGTGGCTGGAATATTTTCCGGTCATTTTTTTCTTTCAATGGATATTTTTCCTC